GCAGGACCAACGGCCAAAGAAATCAGCCAATGCTATCGCGTCCTGAAAAGAGGAGAAGGCAAGGTGCCCCGAGGATCACGCCACGGCGCGTTGCTCGAAGTTGCGGATGGCGCGAATCAGGTCGGCGCCAAACATCGGCTCGAACTGCTCCCAGATGGGCGCCGCGAGCGCGCGCAGGCGATCGATCTCGGCGTCGCTCATGCGCACGACGCGACCGCCGCCCGCGACAAACTCCTCGCGCGCCTTGTCGGCGTCCGCGATCGACTTCGCGCGCTCGGCGCGCGCGACCTCGAGAGATGCTGCGTGCAACGCCTCGCGCTGGAAGTCGGTGAGCGACTGATAGAACTCCTCGTTCACGAGCAGCGAGGTCAAGAAGAGGCTGTGGCTCGTCTCGTTGACGACGGTTTGAACCTCGGCGTGCCCCATATCCCAGTAGCGTGGCCACGTGGACTCGCCAGCCTCGATCAAGCCCGCCTCGGTGAGCTCGGGGATCGCTTGCAACTGCGCGGGATGAGGGGTCGCGTCGAGCTGCTCGAAGAGCGCCTTGACCACAGGATTAAACGAGGTGCGCACCTGCATCCCCGCGAAATCCTCGATCGTGCGGAGCTCGCGATCGGTGCTCGAGATGATCCTGTAGCCGCCGCTGTAGGTGAACGCCAGACCTCGGATGCCATGTGGGCAGAGGCCCTCGAGCAGCTCCCTGCCGATTTCGCCATCGAGCACGCCCGCGGCGTGCTCGTGCGAGTCGAACAAGAAGGGAAGGTCGAGCACCCAGAGGGGCTGATGCAACTTCCCGAGCACGGTCGAGTAGGTCTGGCTCATCTGGAGCTCGCCCTCTCGCACCAGCTCGACGACCTCCGAGGGCTTGAAGCGCTCGCGCCCTTTCAGGTCACCGTACTCGGTGGGCGTATAGACGTTGACCTTCAGCTCACCGCTGGAGAGCTCGAAGACACGCTCGGCGAAGTGGCGCGCGGCCTCCTCGAAAAGCGCGATCGGGTCGTGGGTGAGCACCCAATTGATCTCGATAACAGACATATCGGTCTCCTCTTGTTTGAGGTTGGCTTGAGAATCAACCGCCACCGACGCTCGAGTAAGAACTCGAGGATCGCGATGGCGAGACAAATTGAAGATACATGGCGGCTTCGAGCGCTGGCCCCACCGCGCCGCTATAATCCGTGGCGCTATCTGGCGGGGCCGGCAGATTGCGCGCGGCCTCGAGGAAGTCGAGCGCCGCCTGTCGGTAGCAATCAAACCACTCCCTGTCGGTGCGGTTGTGCTCCTCGGCCTCCTCCTTGCAGATGTAGCCGAGCAGGTAAAGACAGCGCACGTCCGTGGCGGCAGCGGGCATGATCTCGGTCGGGTTCTCGATGCTGCGCAAGCAATGCACGAGGATCGGCCCGACGCGAAGGTCATCATCGTTGTCTCGCAGGCCATCCCAGATGACGCGCCAGGCGCGGTTGATGTCCCCGGTTTGGCGGTGAACGGCGTCAAAGATCCAGCACGCGCCGCGACCATTGGAGGTACGCGCGCACGTCCGCACCAGATCTGAACACGTCGAATGGTCCAGACGACTCAGCTCGCTCAAGCTGTAGGCGCTTCCTCCGATGTCCACGCGACCAAACCTTCGAGCAAAGGCTTCGCTGTACCCGTGGTGCTTGATATCGAGGAAGAAACCGCGTGAAGAAGGTGTACTCATACGGCCACTGGTTTACCACTCCCAACTACCCCGAGCAAGGGAGACATCTGCTACACGGGTTTAGATGCGCCAGCGAGGAGAGCTTTCCCAGGCTGCGCACCTGCGGCCAGCGGGGTATGTCATTGACGTTGGTCGCATGAATCTGTTATGGCGTGTTGCTTCTAGCGCGCCTGGCGCGCGTGAATAGATTACAACGGAGCGCGCCTGAGGGAGGAATGGATACCCCCTCATGGCCCCCGAAACCATGTGATGGCCGCTGGTCATCGCGATAAGCTGCTGACGAGTCGACAAACATGCTCGAGCGAATGAGAGAATCCTCGCGGAGTGGCCTGACCATGGTCATCTTCGCGATCATCATCGTGGTCTTCGCCATCTCCTTTGGCGCTCCGATGGACGGTTGCCAAAAGACCTCCGGGCCACAGCGTGCTGCTACCGTGGATGGTGACGCGGTGATGACCGATCAGGTCCGCATCATCTACAACCGCTATGGTGGCGGCAGCAAGAACCTCACCGAGGCTCAGCTCGCCGAGGAGCAATCCAGCGCGCTCAAGGCGCTCATCATCATCCACCTGCTCGCGAACGAAGCCGAGAAGATCGGCCTGCGCGCTGGTGATGAAACTCGCCAGTACGTGCGTGATCCGCTCCGCAACCTCGAGCTCGCGGGCGTGCTCGGCGGACGCACCGGGATCTACACGCGCTACATCGTGAACCAGCTGCGCGTCTCCGAGAAGCAGTACCAGGACTACAAGAAGACCGAGCTGCTCGCGCGCAAGTACCTCGAGCTCGCGGAGATGCAGGTCGGCGTCCTCCCTGGCGAGGTCGAGGCGCTCCAGAACCTTCGCGAGACCAAGGTCAACCTCGAGTACGTCAAGTTCAACCCCGCCACGCTCAAGACGCACGCCGAAGTGAGCGATGCGGACATCACCGCCTTCCTCGCCAAGAACGAGGCCAAGGTGAAGTCGCTCTACGACGAGCGCAAGGAGAAGGAGTTCTCCGAGCCCGCCGCCATGCGCATTCGCCGTATCTTCATCACCACCAGCGAAGATCTGGCCGATGATGAAAAGGCCGCCAAGAAGGCAAAGTTCGAGCAGGCCAAGAAGCGCATCCTCACCGACAAGGAAGAGTTCGGTAAGGTCGCCAAGGAGCTCTCCGAAGACTTCGCCAAGGATAAAGAAGGCCTGATGGACTGGACGCCCATGGGCAACATCGACGAGAACACCGTCGCTGCGCTCAAGGACGCCAAGATCGGCGACGTCAAGGAAGTCACCACCGACTTCGCCTTCATGCTCGTCAAGCTCGAAGGCCAGCGCGAAGCCAAGATCACACCCTTTGACGAGGTCAAAAAAGAGCTCGCCAAGGAGCTCGTCCAGGAAGAGAAGGTCGGCGCCCTCGCTCAGAAAATGGCCGAGCAGCTCAAGGCCAAGGTCGCCGAGACCAACGACCTCAAGAAAGCTGTCGATGCCCTCAAGGCAGAGGCTGCCGCAGCTCAGGCTGCCGAGACCGCTCCCGCCGAGGGAGAGACCGAGGTCGCAGCGAACGACGCAGCGGATGGCGAGGAAGGCGAAGAGAAGAAGCCCGAGCCAAAGAAGCCGACGCCATGGGACGCTGTCAGCGTTCGTGACACCGGCGCCTTCTCGCTCGAAGGTCAAGACCTCTCGGCGCTGTTTGGCGGCAACCTCCCTCCTGGAGTTAGCCTCGGCGTCGGCGACTGGGATCGCATCCCTGGCATCGGCAAGTCCTCCAAGGTCGCGCTCGACGCGTTCAAGCTGACCAAGGAGAAGCCGCTCTCCACCGAGATTTACACCGTCGATGGCGCGCGCGTCATGATTCGCCTCAAGGAGCGCGTCGATCCTCCAACAGACGAGGCAAAGCGCGCCGAGGGGCAAGAGAAGCTCCACTTCGAGCTTCGCAACAAGCGCCTCGGTCAGCTCGCGCAAGGTTCGCAAAGCCTCTTCCTTCGCCCCACGGACTCCTACGGTCCCTGGATCGACAAGATGTACGAGGAAGCGATCAAGACCAACCGCGTCACCTTTAACGACCGCGTCGACATGGCCAAGATCCTTCGCGATGACTCGCCGCTGGCTGGACTGACCGGCGCTGGTGCAGGAGCAGGCGCAGGAGCAGGTGCCAAGGCCGACGACAAAAAGGCGGACGCGACCACCGAGAAGAAAGAAGAGAAGGCCCCCGCCGAGAAGAAGTGAACGGCGATAGCCAACCTCTCAGGAACATCATAAAGCCCCCGTCGGTTCGCTCGAGCGAACCGACGGGGGCTTTGCTTTGACCATGTGCTGTCACGCGTTTAGGCTATGCTACACGACGAGAAGACCACTCCTCATTGGCAGACCCAGACGATGACAGGAAATCGTACAGATCCAAGGCTCCCTCCCCTCTTTCACCGCCACTGCGCCATGGCGTTGCTGCTCGACCCGAAGACATCCAGAATCGCGGACGCGAACGCGCCCTCGGCGGCGTTTTTTGGACAACCTGTCGAGACCCTTCGGGGACTCCCCCTCACGGCACTCTGCCAGGGCAACGTGCGTGAAAGGATCGAAGACGATCTCTCACGCGCCAGCGAGGCAGGATCTGCAACGTTTATCCTCGAGCACATGCTCGCCTGTGGGATGCCCAGCATGGTCAAGTTCCACGCGACGATGATGAACACCGATTGTGGGCCGCACCTGTTTTGCACCCTCGAAGATCTGACCCAACAAACCCAGGATGCCGCCGCGCTCGCGAGCGGAAAGGAGCTCTTTCGCGCCCTCATCGAGCACTCGCTCGACATCCTCTTTGTCATCGATTTGAGCGGTGAGTTCGCCTTCGCGAGCCCATCGGTCGAGCGCGTGCTCGGATATCACTACGAGGAGTTGCTGGGCGTGCGCGCCGACACATTGCTCCACCCGGAGGACGCGAGGAAGCTCTCGGAGCGTTGGGAATCCCTGCTGAACGAGCCGAGCAAAGTCGTCGAGCTCAAGCACCGCATCCGGTGCAAGGACGGCCACTACCGCGTCCTCGCCTCGCGCATTCGCAACCACGCCACTCACCCGATGCTCGAAGGCTTCGTGGTCAACGCGCGCGATATCACCGCCGAGGAGAAGATGTCCGAGAAGCTTCGCGCTCACGCGCAGAAGCTCGAGGCGAACAACCGCGAGCTCAAGGAGTTCGCCTACGTCGCATCTCATGACCTGCAAGAACCGCTGCGCAAGATCCGGGCGTTTGGAGACCGGCTCGACCGCCAGTTCAGCGAGGCGCTCGGCGAGCGAGGGCTGGACTACCTGGGGCGAATGAACCTCGCGGCGACGCGGATGTCGACCCTGATCGAGGATTTGCTCGAATACTCGCGGCTCACGACGCAGGGGCGCCCCTTTCGCCGCCTCGAGCTTCACGAAATCCTGGAAGGCGTGCTCACGGATCTGGAGATCTCGATCCGCGATCAACGCGCCACCTTCGACATCGGAGATTTGCATGCGCTGGAAGCCGACCCGACGATGTTGCGACAGCTCTTGCAGAACCTGATCTCGAACGCCATCAAGTTCTGCAAGCCAGAAGAAGCTCCCCACGTGAGCGTCCAAACCGAGGAGCGCGAAAACCCGGATGGCAGCATCCAAATCGAGCTGACCATCACGGACAATGGCATCGGCTTTGACCAAAAATACGCCAAGAACATCTTCCAGCCCTTCCAGCGCCTGCATGGCCGAAACAACTACAAGGGGACGGGCATCGGGCTGGCGATCTGTCGCAAGATCGTCGAACATCACGGCGGATCGATTCACGCCTTCAGCGCGCCAGGCGATGGCGCGAGCTTCGTCGTGCTGCTCCCGAGGGATCACGACCCCAACACCACCTGTGAACAGGAGCCCACCACGTGACCACGATCGAAGCGTCAGAGGCGCTCGAGCGCCTCAAGCAACTCTGGCTGCTCGAGCAGCGCGCCGTACAGGAACAATTCACCAAGGCCCGACAGGATCGCACGCTCAATGACAGAGTGCGCGCGGGCATCGCTCTGCGCGACCTCGAGGTTCAGGAGATCCTGGCCGCGCCCGGTGATTACACGCGCGCCTGGCTCGCGCCTCGCAAGGACAACCTCGAGGGGTTCGAGCTGCGCTCCGGTTCGCCGCTCGTGGTCTGGCGCGATGAGATCGGCGGAGAGTATTCGAGCATCGCGACCCTCTGGCGCGTGGAGCGCGACAGAGTTGGCATCTACGTCGAGGGTGACCTGCCCGATTGGATGGAGACGCCAGGGTTTAACCTCGACGAGGAAGCCCCGGACGCGACGTTTCAACGCGGCGTCAAGGCGATCGACCAGTTCATCAAGGCAGAACAACACCTCGATGAAGCGACGATCCGCAAAGCATTGTTCGGCGTCCCCGAGCCAGCCGACCGACCGAGCAAGCTCACGCCGCTCGATGCATTGCTCAACCCGGCGCAGCTCGAGGCGGTGCAACAGGCGCTCGATGCTCCCGTGCTCGCGTTGATTCATGGCCCTCCAGGCACAGGGAAGACGCGCACATTGATCGAGGTCATACGTCAAGCCGTCGATCGCAAGGAGACCGTTCTGGCGACCGCTGCGAGCAATCAGGCGGTCGACAACCTCGTCGAACGGCTCGACGCAGCAGGGGTCGAGGTCGTGCGCATTGGACATCCGGCGCGCGTGAGCGAGGCTGCCATGGCGCGCTCGCTCGATGGATTGCTCGAGCAAAACGAGCTCTATGGTCTGGCCAAGAAATGGATGGACGAGGCCAACGCCGCGCGGCGAAGGATTCAGATCCGCGCTGACCGAGGCCAGCTTAGTTATCGCGAGCGCCGCGAACAGCTCTCCGAGGTGTGGTCGCTGATGAAAGACGCGCGCCAACAGATCAAGCGCGCGCAGCAAACGATCCTCTCGCGCGCGGATGTGATTTGTGCGACCGCCGCGGGTTCGGCGTCGAGCATCCTCGGCAAGAAGCGCTTTGACCTCGTGGTGCTCGACGAGGCGACTCAAGCCACAGATCCGATCGCGCTCGTGCCGCTGACGCGAGCCAAGCGGGTCGTGATGGCTGGCGATCCTTGCCAGCTCCCACCCACAGTGATTTCGCAGCAGGCCGAGAAGCAGGGGCTCGGCGAGACCTTCTTCGAGAGGTTGGTCGCGCGCGGGGCGTCGGTGACGATGCTCGTCGAACAGCACCGGATGAACGAGACGATCATGCGGTTCCCGAGCGATGAGACCTACAACGGCGAACTTATCGCGCATGATTCGGTCGCCTCGCATACGCTCGAGGATCTTGGCGTCGAGCCCGACGCGGTGCGCGTGGGTCCGCTCGTGTTTATCGATACGGCGGGCAAGGGTTGGGAGGACGAGCGCGAGGAAGAGACCGAGAGCACGCGCAACCCAGGTCAGGCCGAGCTCACCGTAAGCGAGATCAAGGGGCTGATCGCTCGCGGCGTGAGCCCCACGGATATCGGCGTGATCACGCCATACAAGGCGCAGGTGCGCCTGCTCGAGCAGGCGCTAAAGGAAGAGCGCGACGCGGGGCTGGAGATCGCCTCCATCGATGGTTTCCAGGGCAGAGAGAAGGAAGCGATCGTGGTGGATCTGGTCAGGAGCAACGCGATGATGGAGATCGGCTTCTTGCAGGACACGCGCAGGATGAACGTGGCGTTGACGAGGGCGCGCCGGTTTCTTTTGGTGATCGGTGATTCTGCGACCATCAGCGCGCATCCTTATTACGCAGACTTCCTCGACGCCGTACAGGAACATGGTGTATGGCTCAGCGCCTGGACGATCTGAACGATTCCGATGATTGAACTCTCATTGACGATACGACTGTTATGAAGCTGGGACACATCTCCGATTTGCACATCTTTGCCTACGAGCAATCCTCTCCGAGGCGTTTTCTAAACAAGCGCATCGTAGGCGGGACCAACATCCTCCTCAACCGCAGCAAGTCTCACTCACCGCTCGTGGTGCAGGCCGCGCTCGATATGCTCGACAGCTTCGAGGTGGACCACATCGCCATCACGGGTGACCTGACGAACCTCGCGCTCGAGGAGGAGTTTCGCGCCGCGGCCAATGTCATCGCAGGCATCACTGGCGCCGAAGAGCGCGTCAGCGTGGTGCCTGGGAACCACGACTACTACGTCCCGGAGATCCAGGAGACCGGCACGTTCGAGCGTCACTTCGAGCAGTATCAACGCTCCGATTTGCCGAGCTATCAGCTCGAGAACGGCTACCCGTTCTGCAAGTTTCTCGGGGATGATATCGCGCTCATCGGGCTGAACACCGGGATCGCGTCGCCGCCGATGTTTGCCGTAGGCAAGGTCGACGCCAGGGAGCTGCGCTCGCTCGAGCAGATGCTCGATGATCCCAAGCTTCGCGACCGCTACAAGATCGTGATGTTG